TCTACCAGCAGATAACTTCAAGGCCCCTGAAGTTAGGTCAAAAAAGACTGGAGCAGTGTGAGCCTATATGTACACTGGAAACCAACCACCCAGTGTTTCCTTCCAGGACAGGGCCCAGGGCTGAGAAGAAACAGATGGGAGTGAAATCAAATATGAACAACATAAAGACAGTAGCAAAGAAGAAAAGAAAACGCCCAGGTAAAAGTTGGGGACAGGAGCAAAGGAATCAGGAAATATTGCAAAGCTAAAAAAAATAAAAGAGGAAGTCCTGGGAATTTGAGGGGGGTTATCTTGAACGTACCACCCTCTCAAAGTCAGAAGAACTAATTTTACAAAAACAACGAAGAACAAAAAATTCCTCATGGTAAATCACATTCAACATCACTGTAAGAAGAAAGGATGATAAGGAACAGAGTAACAGTCCTACAGAAACTGAAAGCATGCAGAAAGACATACCCACAAAATAGATCAAAACTGTGACACACTACACTTGATCTTGAACAACATGGGTTTGAATTGCATGGGTCCGCTTATACATGGATTTTTTTTTTCGATAAACACAGTACAGTACTATAACTGTATTTTCTCTTCCTTATGAGATTTTCTTAATAACATTCTTTTCTCTAACTTATTTTCATGTGAAAATATAGTGTATCATACATATACAAAAAAATGTGTTAATTAACTAAATTATGTTATCAATAAAAACTCTGGCAATTAATAGTTACATATTTGTGGAGTCAGAGGTGGGGAATCAATACCCCAACCCCCACATTGTTTGTTCAAGGGTCAACTGTATTTTATTTTACTTTCTTAACTTTTTAAAAATATTTATTCATTTTTGAGAGAGAGATAGAGAGCAAGTGGGGGAGAGGCAGAGAGAGAGGGAGATACAGAATTCAAAGCAGACTCCAGGCTCTGAGCTGTCAGCACAGAGCCCAACACGAGGCTTGAACCCACAAGCGGTGAGATCATGACCTGAGCCAAAGTCAGATACCTAACCGACTGAGCCACCCAGGTGTCCTGGATCAACTGTATTTTAAAATGCACTAAACAACATTAAGAACATGATATAAGACATTAGAGAAAATGATATATCTGAATTTCAAAAACTTAAAAATAATGTCACAAAATTCAGGGAAGAATTAGAAGTAAAAGAAAAATCATTTCAGAAATGAAGATTAGGCTAGAAGGAATATAGGAGCAAGTGAATGAGATATTTCATTCATTAAGAAAAATAGAAATCTAAGAATAGAAACCTTGGGGGCAGCTGGTTGCCTCAGTCGGTTAAGTGTCCAACTTCAGATCAGGCCACGATCTAATAATTTGTGAGTAGGGAATCTCTGTTGTCAGCACAGAGCCCACTTCAGACCCTCTGTCTCCTTCTCTCTCTGTCCCTCCCCCACTCATATGCACTCTCTCTCTCTAAAATAAATAAACATTTAAAAAATCTTTTAAAAAATAGATAAATAAAATCTTGGAAGGGAATAAAAAGGCATAGGCAAACTACTATAAGCATGAATGAGTGTGGGGAATATTGCTTCCATGAGCCCAACCTGAAGAATCTACTGGACAAAGAGCTTTAGACAACCCAAATGACCAGACATAAGAACTGTGATGAATAAGTGTATGGACTTATTTCTGGACTCTTGATTCTGTTCCATTGGTCTATATGTTGGTCCTGATGTCAGTGCCAGATTGGTTTGTAGCTTTGTAATTTATTACAAAGCTTTGTAATAAATTTTGAGATCAGGAAGTGTGACTCCCACAGCTTTGTTCTATATCAGTATTGCTTTGGAAATTATGATGTATCCGTGTACTTTTCTTTGTGTTTTTGTTCTTGGAATTCTTTGAGCTTTGTGGATTCTAACATCTGACAAGTGGGAGTTCCAGAAAAAAATAAATAAAAGGAGGGAAATTGCTACTGAAACAATTCAAAAAATGGTCCCAGAACTGAAAGATATGATTTTGCAGATTGAGAGGGCCCACCCAGTATCCAGCACAGTCGATGAGAAATATCCTCACAGGGAACATCATGGTGAAATGTTAGCTCTTTTGAGACAGAAAGTCTGTAAAAGTTTTCAGAAGGGGATGAGAAAAACCAATTCATATGAAAGACTCATGAACGAGAAAGGCATCCACTTTCCCAAACTCTAGCATAGATGGAGGCTCAGAGACAAGGAGCAAAGCCTGAAAACATCTGAAAGAAGAGATGAAGGCTAGAATGCGAGCACACTCTCCCTTAACAGTGGAGGTAGAATAGAGACATTTCCATCAATGCAACGCAGCCACATTGTTTGAGGAAGCACTGGAAGATTTGCTCCACAAAAAGGAAGGAATAAAAAAGAAAGAGGAAATGGCCTCCACAATAGTCAAGATAATGAAGAGTACCCTCACAGTGATAAGGAAGACAGACCCCAGGACAGCAGTGGGCTTGGCAGCCATAGATTGCAACAGGAGGTCAGAGGGTCCAAGGGTAATGCTTTAAATGCAGGAAGGAAACCAATAGGTTATCAGAGGTCTCTGAACATAGCAAAAAATCCACATAAGCAAGTTTTCGGAAATATGAATGCAAATACTGTAAGATCCAGGTGGAAGAATTGAAAGTGATTGCCTCTGAGGAGGGAGAATCTGGCAGGGTAGGAGCAAGGTGGGCCAGGCGTTTGCTCTTTTTCTTTATAAGCCATCTAGAATTTTTTGACCTATATCTGTAGAAATTTGATAAAGAATAATCTTTTTAATGAAAAAGTGGTAGCAAGCATTAAATATATAGTTTTATTTATAAGAGACTAAATGAGGGCTAAAGCAGGAGAGAATATATAGGTTATGCACTCTGACAATGTAAATATAGCACAACTATTTTAAAGGAGGAAAGAATAGAGAGTGTATACACAGAAAAAAGAGGAATCATTAACTGTTCTCAATAATGATACTGGCACAGTATTATTAGTATGCTATTCTGAGATGGTTGTGCCTATGAAAAAGAAACAAATGAATAATTGTAGAATACTCCAAGTCTATCATCTCCTATGCCCCTGAGAACCAGGATTTTAATATGGAATCAAGGTAGAAGTATAAATATAATATAGAATAGATTACATTAAAACTGTGCAGACTGGGGGCACCTGGGTGACTCAGTCAGTTAAACATCCAACTCTTGATTTTGGCTCAGGTCATGATCTTACAGTCATGGGACTGAGCCCCAGGTTGGGCTCCACATTGAGTGTGGAGCCTGCTTGGTCTCTTTCCCTTCTATCTGCCCCTTCCCCTCTCACTCTCTTTATAAAGAAATAAATAACCATTAAAAAATCACAACTCTGTAGTCTGAATTTTAATCAGACCTATTTGCTAGGTCTGTCTGTCAAAATGCCCAGTTTTGCCCACTGAACAATGACCAACCCAGTAGCCATGACAGTGAACCTTCCTGGTGTCCAGATTGCATCCTTGTGATACTATTTTCCATTAAAAGAGGAAAAGGTTTGGGGTTCCTGGGTGGCTCAGTCGGTTTAGCATTTCTTTGTGATGTTTGGCATATTGATTACTAAGGGAAAATCTATATATGCATGCACACACACACACACACACACATGCAAATATAGTTTTACTTTTTACTTTGAAATCATTTCAAGTTTATTAAAAAGTTGCTTGTAAAAGACAAAGAATCCCTATATATCCTTGATCCAGATTCATATTCGTATTCCTTTTCACTCATTTGCTCACTTTCTCTACTTCATAATTAATAAACATCATGTCCCTTTACCTGTGAACGCATCTCCAAGAATTTCCTAAACATCAAGGAGATATATATATTATATATATTTAATTTTTAATATGAACATATATAATTATTAGCCTTGAAAACATGCATGGATTTTATACCAAATTAAATAAAGTACATAAAAGTACTATTTTAAGCTGTAAAGAATCGTTAAGAAATGCATGTCTTTTTCCACTTGGTATGCCTTAAGGTAACTGGTCACTTCTACATGAAGTTTAAAGAAATTTGCCATTATCAGAGTATATCCTCAGATAACAGAAAATAAAGGAAGTCAGAAATTACAATCCTTTTCAGTAGTTGTTTTAAGCTTACTTGTAGTTTAATTGCTTAATAAATTCTTAATTACTCATTAATTTAATATTAGGGAAATTAGACATGAAGTTCTAGAGGGTGGCAGAAATTTGAAGAATGCTTCCATGTCTCTATCAAATCAGCCTCAAAGTGAGAGAAATTAAGTGAGGTACCTGGTCTGGTTTATTTTTTTCTTTTTTAGATGGTGCTCAAACCCAATATAAGTTATGTGCAGAGGAATATAAGTAAATAAAAACTGATCTTGTTTAAAAAGGAGAACTTCATTTGGAAGATTTTAAAACACATTTATAAATAATTTGTGGGCCATATCAGCTTTTTATAAAGAAGAATGAGACCTTCTTCAGATAGTGTGTAGATTGAAAATCTCCATAGTGCTGTTCAAGATTTTGACATATCTGGGTTTGGCCTATTTTTGTGCAGAATGAGAGTGTCTTGCCAGAAAATATAGGGCCTGTTTTCATAATTTGCACTAAATTAAGCTGCATTTGACACTGAAATCATTTGACAAGCCAGTCACTTGCAAAAGTATGATAATAAAGATACTAGTTTCTAAAATGTTTATACTAAAATCTATTCCACTGAAATACCCAAACTCTCACCCTGGACTGATAAAATTGTTCTGTAGGTTTGCCTTTATAAATAAGAATTAACACCTGGGCATGCACTAGAATAAGACTTCCCAGCCCCACACTTCTTCCATTCTGAAAACAAAGCTCTTTTCCTTTAGAATTTAATGGACTGTTTGGGCTTCTAAACAAAATGCAGTTCAATTATGGATTGTAACACAGAGGGAATAAATTGCATTGGCGTTGAATGCAATTGGATGGGGCTTTCTCGGGGAAGACGCTTGAAGGAGAGGCCGCTTCTCCGCCAGGTCGGAGGAGTCATGGTACTCTGTCTCTGCCCGCAGGTGAGCGAGATGGAAGTGAACGGGCAGTTCGAGTCCGTGTGCGAATCTGTGTTCAGCGAGCTGGAGTCGCAGGCGGTGGAAGCCCTGGACCTGCCGATGCCCGGCTGCTTCCGCATGCGAAGCCACAGCTATGTGCGGGCCATTGAGAAGGGCTGCTCCCAGGACGACGAGTGCGTGTCCCTGAGGTCCTCCTCCCCCCCACGTACCACCACCACCGTGAGGACCATTCAGAGCAGCACCGGTGAGTGAGCAGAGCACCTGTCCCCCGGGTGCCCCGTGACACCACACCACCACAAGCCTGGTCTCTGGGCCCAGGACTACAGAAAGACTGTCCCAAAAGACTGCACGTGGTGTCCTACTGTTATCACACAGTCACCAGTAACAAAACACCACCCATGCCTTACAAAGAATTGTTTTGCCTCCCTGCCTGCCCCTGTCCCCAGGCTTTTGGCCACATCCACAGCCCTTCTCTGTCTCCATCTCTGGCACCAACAGAGAAACTTCAACTACAGGTGCAGAAGGGACAGCAGTGAAGCAGAGGAGGGGGTCTTTCTAAAATCCCCAGACAGCATCCTAGCAGCCAGCGAAGTCATCCCACCAGCTCCTACTGGCCACAGCCAGGCCCTGACTTTTAGGGGTGACCCTTAAGCAAATCAGATACCCTGACTGCTAAGCATCACGGTTAGAATGCCTTTTTTTTTTTTTTAATTCCAAGATATCTACAAAATGACTATCCCCAAAGACCTGAAACATCAGTGTAAGAAAAAAGGGAAGAAACAGGTGATTCAGTAATACTAATTGAACATCTTACAAATTTTCTTTCATTATAACAGGTATCATTATTTTAAAACCTGCTGTCATATGTATACAGCATCTTCTTTTCCCTCTAAAGTGCAGTTAAGTTTCTGCAGTTAAATGGTATTTTTATCAGATTTTAGGTAGAGAGGCAGAGAAGAGCTTAATGGGTTTCCATGACACTGAGACCTGCATAAGAATATAACCACGAGTTATATATGACAGTGTGCATTGATTTTTTTAATATATATATTTATCCCATTTGGGTCCAAGAAGAAAATCCCCTCCATTTTAACTAGGCTTAACTGTGTGATTGAATTCAATGTAACTCCAATAGAGAGCAGTTCTATAAGACCATCAAACCTAGAGTCATGGTAAATAGTAATGAATAAATTAGAAGGAAAAGCCTGTGCTAGAATATTTTAGTATTCAATTTTGGCTCTAGGTGCATCACATGGCAGGAATTACCATTCAGCCTAGAACTTTTGCAGGCTTGAGAACTAACAGGTCCTCAAACCTGAGTTAGAAGTCCTACTAAGCAGAGATGTGGAGTTGAGGTAACAATTTGTAAGAAGCCATTAGAGGCGAAACAGTAGTCAGGATCAGGGAAAGAGATGCTTCTAGACGGTGCCCTCGCTCTAAGACTCTGCAGGGAGCCCAGCAACTCTGGCATTGGCTGGCTATCTCCGACCAGATAGTGGGTGTGCATTCTCGCTCACCAGGAAATTCTACAAGAACAGCCACAGAGGAGGTTAACAAATAAGGTTGACTTATAAAATGAAAAAAAAAATGTCGATCATCCATGGGCATATTTCTGTGTGTGTTTACGTTCATGCAGTAAGTGTAATTTGAAGATCTGCCCTGTGCCTCTAGTGTATCGCTATGTCTTATTGTTTCCCCATTTTCGCCACCCCCACCCAGCCCTTTCTCCGTGTCCGGTCCACTGCTCGCTATAACAGTCTCGCCGCCTGCCAGCTGTTCTGTGCTGAAGTCAACTCGTCAAATACACAATCTGCACATCCTTGCCCTGAAGTACTAGGGGAAAGAGAATGGCCACTGGCTGACTCCTTCCCCCTCGAGGAACAGTGTTGCGGATAAAGTGGCAAAAGACTCCAGAATGGCTTTTTTTTTTTTTTTTTCTGCTCGCCTCTCAGAGGATTTGTGCTTTTCTTATTTAAGAAACAACTTACTTCCACCTCTCACGTCAGTCAGTTCTTGTGCCGTGCTCTGGACTTTTCTGAGACCTTTCCCAGATACTCGGGAGGCTCCTGGAGTTCAAACAGTTGAGTTGCCAGATAAAATCCAGGGTGCCAGTTAAATCTGAATTTCAGATAGTAAATAATTTTTGCAGTGCAAGTCTATCTCAGACATTGCATGGGGCATACTTATACTAGAAAATTTTTGTAGTGTTTGTGACAAAGTGATTTGTAGTAAATGCGACAAGCCCATCAGAGGAGATGAGTAGAATCTGGGAGGGTGTCTTGCATTGTTCCTTATAGAATATAAATTGATCAGAAGGTCTTTGACTGGAGGTCCTATGGAGAACACTCAAAAACAGAGAGAAGTAAATAAAAATACCATAGAGGTGATTGCATCGCTCCTTCTCATGTGTCTCATCAGAAGTGCTGCACTCCACCTACCCCACCCCCCACCCCCGCAGCTCTCCGTGGGGGGGAAGGCTCCATGCGTGGCTGCAGCTGCATGGGTTAAGGGCAGGAAGATGTGACCTGTCCCCGGGAGTGATAAAGCATAAAATACCAGAGTTTTGCACAGGGAAGCTGGTGACTTCACCTTTTATCAAACTGAATATTATGATAGATCATCTTTACAGTCATGGAAAAATTAACAAGGACTAAACCATTGTAGTAAATTCTAAGTAAGCCCATCAGATATTTTAAGATGGCAACTTTAAGAATTCTAATATCACTTTTCAGTTTCTCTATGCTATAGATTTGTTCTTTTAAAGTTATTATTTTATGATATAATAAGGCTCTGTGCCATTCTACTCCTGCCATTACTCCCATGCTAGTCTCTCTCTCTCTCTCTCTTTCTCTCTCTCTCTCTCTTTCTCTCTCTCTCTCACACACACACACAGACTTTTCCTTTTCTCTTACATGATCGCTGTACTATCATATTAATTTTCTTCTGCTGGTTTTCTTCTTACGTTGGATCAAATATAATTTCCTGTATGGGCGCCTGGGTGGCTTAGTCGGTTAAGCGTCCGACTTTCGCTTACGTCATGATCTCGCAGTTGTGGGTTCGAGCCCCGCGTCGGGCTCTGTGCTGACTGCCAGCTCAGAGCCTGGAGCCTGTTTCAGTCTGTGACTCCCTCTCTCTCTGACCCTCCCCTGCTCACGCTGTCTCTCTCTTTCTCCTAGAAATAAATAAAACATTAAAAAAATTCAAATATAATTTCCTGTAGAAAACACAGAAAATCAACTTTCTCACAGGACCTACTAATTTTCAAAAGAGGTGCTCATTTGTAGAAATCAGGAAATTACTTGGCTCTAATTTTAATCATTTCCCCCATGTACCCAGGTCAGATTTACATCCCTGTTCTGTAGGACGTGACATAGATTTCTCCCCTGGTTTCTCTTCCTTTGCTCATTATTCTTGGATACTCACAACAGATTCTATTTTTCCTAAACTTCCTTTTCCCTGGGAAAAGTTCTTCTGTTTTGTCAACTGCAGTTATTAGCTATAACTTCAGCAAAGTACATGCAGAGTCTTTGATTTCTGTGTCAGCCCGTTCTAATTGTTCAAGTTTTCAATGAAATATACTCAGCTTTTCTCTTCAAGCCTTGTCCATTCTTCATATTAGCAAGATGAAATCATAAACAAAAATCGACAAAAGTGTCTGCTACCATGTGGGAGTGTTATGAACACGGGCTCAGCTCTAAGTGGCCCCAAGGATCCCCTGGTGATATGAGCAAGAATGGTGACTCGTCCCAGCAAATCAGGGGAAATTAGGAACTGAGTTAGAGTGTTACAACAATTATGCTTCTCTTGGTTTATTAACTTTTTGGCTTGGGTAACTATGATAGCATCCTATATTCCCTCAGACTGTAATCTGCTTCAAGCACTCAGATATCTCTCCATCTAATAAGTTCAACAAGTTTTTATATAAACTATGGTAGCTAGTACTATTAGACTAGGATTAGAGCTACTGTAGGAAAGTACAACTTAACAATGGAACAATTAACCTCAGGACTGTGGGGAAACAAGCACCCTTACATCAGTTGCCTGAATATTTTAGGTAAAGGTAGAACTTGGGGCTGGAAATATACCCACACTCCACTTTAGAGTATTGGATTAAATTTGCCTCTTGAATATACCAATATAATTGAATGTGTTTAAGAATAATTTTTCTTTTTACATCCTGCACTGAGCATCTAAGATCTATCAAAAGTATTATCACATTGTAGCTAAGGCAGGCAGACAGACTTGTATCTGCTGAATAAACAAAAACATTATATAATAATCAATCAATAGATACAGTCATACAGATACAGACACACACTTGGTCCAAAAGGACAAAAAATAAACTGTTTGCAGTGGTTACCCAGCAAGGAGCGGGTGAGAGGATCAGGTAGTAGGGACACAGGGAAATTTCTAAATAAGCACTGCTTTTTATGACTAAAAGCCAATACAGTATTTGATTAAAATAATACTCTGACAGAAATAGGCAAACTATCACGATATAGGATTCTCTGATTTTTTAAGAAAAGCATTCACTTTGAAATTACAAGTTTTTCAAAGAAGCCTTATGTAGTATAATAAGATTTCTTAAATGTTTATTTACTTTTGAGAGAGAAAGAGAACAAGTGGGAGAGGGGCAGAGAATGAGGGAGAGAGAATCCTAAGCAGGCTCCACACTGTCAACACAGAGCCCAACACATGGCTCGAACTCACAAACCATGAGATCATGACCTGAGCTGAAATCAAGAATCGGACATTGAACCGACTCAGCACCCAGGCGTCCCACAATAATATAATTTTTATAAAGGATAAGTAGGTTCATTTGCCACACTGTGCCTCTTGAAGTTTGGCATGTGTGCTCTATTCTTTTCTTATCAGGGGAAGCCTTAAAAGTTGATGGAATTGAACAGAGCTCCTTCCCTTCTAGGAGCCCCCAGAAAGGGCAGTGAAAACCAAGGATAAAGCATTGCCACCAGACCAGCAGCCAGTGTCCTCCAGTCGGGGAGTCGGGACTGTGTGCCCTCCTGGCTATGGCTTGGAGCCACATTAACAGCAATATTTACACTCTTTTTTGAAAGAGGCATTCTCCCTTAAATTAAGACTCACTCTTCCATAACCCTACTTCACAGTCTCTCACTGCTGTCAGATCTGACCCATCTATTTCAGTTTGCTCATTTAGCAAAAGCAGGTACCCTTTGATAAACTGAGGTTGGGGCTAATGTTCCCAGAGTTCTCCCACTGGCTTGA